CTAGAATGTGATGCATCCGGTTTTGGCATAGGTGTTGTGCTACTTCAAGGAGGCCACCCCATTGCTTATTTTAGTGAAAAACTACATGGGGCCACCTTGAACTATCCCACCTATGACAAAGAACTATATGCCCTCACAATAGCCCTTCAATTTTGGGAGCATTACTTAGTGACTACGAAATTCATCATACATACCGATCATGAGTCACTTAAGTACATTAGAGGGCAAGGAAAATTAAATAAAGGCATGCTAAGTGGATAGAATATGTTGAGAAATTTCCTTATATTATCAAACATAAAAAGGGAAAGAATAATGTAGTGGTCGATGCTCTCTCTAGAAGGCATATGTTACTCTTTACCTTAGGTTCTCAAATATTAGGATTTGATAATATCAAGGAATTGTATGAACTTGACTTGGATTTCCAACCCACTTATGCCAAGTGCCTACAAAATCCTTTTGAGGGATTCTATATTCTTGAGGGATATCTTTTTAGAATGGGCAAACTTTGTATCCCTCAAGGATCCCTTAGAAATCTTTTAGTCAAGGAAAGTCATGAGGGAGGTCTCATAGGCTACTTTGGGGTTGATAAAACCCTAAGTCTCTTAAAATCCAAATTCTATTGGCGACACATGAGAATAGATGTCCAAAGGTATTGCTCTAAGTGCATCACTTGTTTACAAGCAAAATCAAGGGTGATGCCTCTGGACTCTATACCCCTCTCCCTATAGCTAGCTCCCCTTGGGTTGACATTAGTATGGATTTATGTTCCATTTAGAATTGTTATTATAAGATATATTTTAAAATAAATTATCATCTAAAAATATATATTAGATATTAAAAACATATTTATATCATAAATAAATTAAACTGGATTTTTATAAAATTTAACATATTTATTTTTATATTTTTAATAGTGTTATAAAGATGGAATTTAAAATAAAATTTATAAAATTTAACATTGTAAATTATTCAATAATATGTGATCTGATAACTCAAAAATTAAGTTATAAAATGATAATTATATTTATTTATATACTCTAACACATCTTACATACAAGATAAATTCATAAGTTTGTTGAAAGATAAATTTATATTTTAGTCACGATTTTGAAATTATATAAAGAAAAAAAATCGTGTACCTCATGTTAAAGGAAGTATATATAAAATTGTTAATAAAATATAAGTTTATTAAGATAATATACATAATACTTCAAAAAAAATTTAATTTTAATAAAAAAAATTGTCTTGTAGATTGCGACGGTTTATAGTAAACCGTCGCAATGCTGAAAATTTTGCGACGGTTTATGACTAACTATCGCAATATTAAAAAAAATTTGCGACGGTTTATGATTAATTGTCGCAATCTTCAACAAATTTTGCGACGGTTTATGATAAACCGTCGCAATGTTCAACAAATTTTGCGACGGTTTACGATAAACCGTCGCAATGTGGAACAATTTTGCGACGGTTTTTGATAAACCATCGCAATGTTAAACAAATTTTGCGACGGTTTATGATAAACCGTCGCAATGTTCTACAAATTTTGCGACGGTTTACGATAAACCGTCACAATGTTGAACAATTTTACGACGGTTTTGAAAAACTGTCGTATGAAGGGTCGCAATATCAAAGCGACGACGATTTCTAGATAACCGTCGCAATTTGTCCGTCGCAATTTATCATTTTCTTTGTAGTGATTAAATCTTTATTGAATTAGCTTAAAGAACAATTAATATGCAGTGCTTATGTTCTAGTTTAAACCATTTTAATCATACAAGTCTATTAATCAAGACCAAGCATTTTAACATTCAATTAAAGATTGTTCAATGTAAGAGATAAGAATGAAAGAAGAGTGCAAAGTATTTTATCCCAGTTCAGCCACTCCACATGTGACCTACACCCAGTCCTTAATCATAACCTAATCAAGATTTATTCCACTATCTCAATGAAGAATTTTTACAAGCATACCACACATGCACACACTTCAACACATAATATAGACCTTTTTTGCACCCAAGAAAACACTTCTTGTAGAAACCCACTACAAGAATTCCTTGCCACTTGAGAAACTTACTCAAGACTTTTAACACAATACATGAAAGAGATTAAAGGAACGAATTCACCTGAAAACTGAACAAATCAGACTATGAATTCTTGACCAATCTTAATTCCTCTTTCTAAGAATGTAGTGATGACGATGATTCTTCTCAAAGCATTTCACAAAATGTTTTACTTGGTTTCACAAAGAAAACTATCCAATAAGATCATAAAGATCAAAAGTTTATCACAAAATTCTCACAATATCACTTGATTAAGTTTCTGAAAGAGAGAAATACTTTTACAAATATTTTAGATCGAAATAATCGATTGTTTTTAAGGATAATCGATTATTTTGTTTTTCATGAATTCTAGAAATCATTCCAGATCACAAAATAATCGATTATTTTGTAAGATAATCGATTATTTCAGAGAGAACCTTTTGGAATAATCGATTATTTTACAGATAATTGATTATTATAGCAAGGTTTCTCAACCTCTTGAAAAACAAAGTTGAGATAATCGATTATTTTGAGTTCATTTTCAAAATTCAATTTCACACATTCAAAACCTTTCCAAGTTATTTATCATCATCATACTCACTCTTAGACAATTTAGAATTAAGATTCAACTCATGCACAAAGCACAAACATGCATAGAAAATAAAATTGAGTAACAAAGCAACTCAACACATAAGAACACATAAACTACTCCTATTACATTTGGTATTCATTCATGATCTTCATGTTTTCTCTTTTCTTCATGTCTTTTGTTTTCATCAAAATTCTCAGAACTTGATTCACCATCCATGAATCTCAACAGCGCGAACCTTGCTAGCCTCCATGCTTATTTAAGTCTTGATCCATCACACTTGTAATCACTTTTGATATATGAGAGATTTTCAGCACATTGCTTTAACAAAGTCTCCCTCAAAAGTCACCAAAATCCCTTACTTAGTTCTAGGGAATCCGAGAGCTTCTAAGCTTTTGTGAGCATTCCTTTGAGTTTCCTTACTTGAGTGCTTCCTTCTTTAGCTTAAGAACACTTGTTTGGTGTTCGATTCTGGAGATTCAAATCCATAATTGATCCTCAAGGAAGAAGATCGTGACATTGGAGAAAGAAAAGGAAGAAACATCAATTACTTCACTTGCCTCACTCCATCAAAGGTCTCCAAAAGGGATAACAACACTAAAAAAAATAAATATAGAAGTTCCCTAATAGAGATAGTGACACTTAAAAAAACAAAAAAGAAAAGAAAAATTTAAATTTCCCAATCCCTACAATAACACATAAATAATAATAATAAAAAAAAATAGTCTCCCAAAGTCACCAACGACACTTAAATGATAATAATAATAACAAAAAAAATTAACACTACTAGAAAAGTGTCATTTTCTTGCAAAAAAATATTCGCAGAAATTTTTTGCGAATTTTCCTGCAAAAAAATATTTGCAGAAATTTTTGGCGAAAAATAATTTACAGATATTTCTTACAAATTTTGCTACAATTTTAATAATCATAGAAATTTTTTTCCATGGTAAAAATTTGCAGAAAATATTGTAAGAATTTTATTTTGTTTCTTGCATATTTTCTTGCAAAAATAAATTCGCAAGTAATGTTTACTAAATGGTAGAAAAATTTTGCAGGTAACTTTTCCTGTGAATTTTCCTGCAAATTTTAATCCACAGGAAAAATAAAAGAAAATATATTTAAATTTATAAGTTTAATATTTTAATAAAACTTCAAGTCCCACATCGATTGAAAATAAAAAAATTAAAGAGTATATAAGTTGGGGTAACACTTACCTTACAATTTGATTTATATGGTTGAATGTTAGGCTTATAATCTACAATCTTAGAATTTAAAAGATTATGTATCACATGTTGGAGGCATGGAAACAAATGCTTCGGATGAATTCATTATGAGCATTTCAAAGTTGAAAATTTATTGATAGAATTTATAGTAATTTTTTTAATTTTTTTCGCAAGAAATTTTGCAGGAAAATTTTCTGCTAATTTTAAAATTCGCAAAATAAATATTATCCACGAAGATATTACCTGCAGATAAAATTTTACAGGAAAATTTGCAGGAACAACGTTTCCTCCGAATTTTTATGAAAAATTTGAAAAAAAATCGCATGTAATAAGAAAAATTCTAGTAGTGTAAGTCTCTAATCCTTGCAAACCTTGCAGTGACAATCAATAAAAAAAATTAGTCTTTTAACCCTTGTAGTGACACTTAAAAAAATTAAGTTCCTAACCCTTTGCAGCGGCACTTAATTAATAAAAAAATAAATAAAATTGAGTCCCCAACCCTTGCAGTGACATTTAAATAAAAAAATTAAGTCCCTGATAAGGGATAACATCACTATGCACCAAAAAAGAAAAGTTAGTCCCTGAAAGTAGTGACATTACAAGAGTAAAATATTGATTCGACTCTATTTTTGAGCTAAACTTAAACGATTATTTAAGAAAAAATGACATGATAAAGAGTAACGTTATGTTGACCTATGATATCCCATTTTTGAAAATAGTTTAAAAATATCCTCGTTTAAGTAATAAGTTTTCTAAATATTCCCTTTAGATAAAAAAGCCCTATTACACGCACTCGCCCATGCACAGAGAATCGATTTGTTCGCAGACATTACGCAAGGATATTCGTACCTTTTTGTGTATATAATTTAATTTGTTTATCATGCATCCTTGCAACATTTTGAGAATATTTATTCATTTATTCTGAAAAATGAAAAGGTATTATTGATAGAAGTGCTTATTCACATGCAAATCGTTTAAAAAGTTAATTCCATTTTCTTGATTCCTTTTGTTCAAGTTGTTCTTTTATATATTCCTTTCCCTTTTCCTTTTCTTCTAAGACAACTTTATGCTTCTCCTCTAGCCTTGAATTGTATTATTCCATTTCTCTTCGTTGTTATCTTATTACCTATATAAAGGGTTCCTCAAACAAACTCTTCTTATAGTTTCTTCGTTGATATATAAAGCACACATAGAGAGAACAAAAAAAAAAAAAGAAGAAGAAGAAGAAGAAGATACAAACAATTTTTGCAGATTTTAAAGAATGTCTTTCAAGAAGCCTCATCAGAAGTTAGATGCTAGGTTCATAACACAGGCAAGTATACGTTCTCTTATGCCTATATAAAAGTCATATTTTACAAGATATTTATTTATGATAATTACAATATATATCATTTGTATTTTAACTGAATTTTTTCCCACCATAAAGTAGGTTATATTCATGACTTATTTATTTATTTCAGGCAGGAGACTTATTTTTGTTTTTAGAAAATATCATTTGCGTGCTCAGTTTCTTATTTTTCCTTTAATTAAAAATAACATCTTACTTTCGTTCTATTTTGTATTTTTGAAAATTTGTATAAAATATCATATAAAAATATTTATATAATTATTTAAAATTAAAATAAAGTCACATTTTAAATATAAATAGTAATAAAAGTAAAATAAAGTTTTTAATTATAAAAAAAAAACCAAATGAACATTATCTGAGAGATCGATTACCTAAATATACACGAGATGACTTCAATATTCAAGTTTGAAAGTTTAAGAATATGTAAACATTAAATTAAAAAAAAAAATTCCAATTTTTCCCACTCATCTAGACATGTCTCCAAGAATTTCTCTCTCTCTCTCTGTCTGTGTGTGTGTTTTTAACCCATCTAAATAATACATTTTTTTAGTTCTAATTATTTATTTTTCTTGTTTCTTCATTTTATTTCTTTTCTTTTTATTTCACTGTCAATGATGCTGGAATTGCCTATAACAATGATAAAAATATATGTGCAGGAAGGCGACAAGTTTGTGATACTACCTAAAGGACTCAACATTGTGTGGGGAAATGATTCTCGATACTGGAAAGTACCAGAGTAAGCATTATAATTATATGAATTACATTCTTAATATTTTTGGAAAAACAAAAATTAAAATTTGTAATCTCTCTCAACGTTTCTGTTTTCTATATTTAATCATTACCGATTTAATCTGATTTCTTTTAATATATTCGAAATCGATGCGTTTTGGTCCCTTTATCTATCTATATTTACATAACATTCATATAAGATTAGCATAAAAACTTTTACATTATGAAAAAAAAATTCAGATATAATTTTTTTTAAAAAAATATATATTACAAAATTTTAAAAAATTAATTGTATTCTAAAATTTATAATTACATAATAACATTAAAACTTATGTTAACAATCTATTCAAATATATATAGAGAAAGGGGGGTGGGGAATAAAAATAAAATGCATGTTTAAATATGTGTATGTCTATATAAATTTAGTTGTATTTGATTTTAGTCCTTATAATTTATTTTTTATTTTTAAAATTTTGATACTTTTTTAGTAATCTTTTTAAATCTTTACTATTAAGTCTAGTTAGTAGATAATCTTGTCTCCTTAAATATATGGTCAGAGGTTCAATTATTTGTTTTTATATATGAAAAAATATTTGTTCAAAAAGGTTAATACTTAAATAAATCTTAATACATTGATTAATAAATTATTAATTTTTAGTCTAGTTAAAGAATTGCATGAAAATGTAAAAAATCACTAGAATCAATCTAGTGGTGAAGGATTGGGTTAATATGAATAAGATCCTAAATTCAAAAATTATTGTTATCATAATTTTGATGGATTAACTTTTTTTTTTTTTTACAGAATATATTGATTTGTTAAAGAAATATATCATTAGCACTAGTTAATTTATTATTAATATGATGAACAAAACAAGAAATATTATTTTAGACAATTAAGATAATGAAGAATATTTTAAATTGAAATAATTAAATTATTTTTAGATACATAATTTAACTCCAATTAGTAAAGAATGAACTCATTTCTTAAAAGAATGTGATGAGTTTGATTCTTGTCCATATGATTTTTTGGTGGATAAGTGTTTATAGAACCTTGAAGGCACCTTAGCTTTGGTGGGCTCTCGAAACCCAACTCACCAAAGCTTTTCTCTCTAAAAAAAAAAGGTTTCATTAAATATATTGATTATCTATATTAATGGACATAGGGGATACTAAAACCTTTAAAGGCTTTCTAGTCTTTATTTTTGTAAGACTATTTTACTTTTGAATATATTAATATATTAATTATTTTTATCTCTCCTCCACTGTTTTTTTGACACATTGTTCTCTCAATTATACAACTTATATCTTTACTTTCACTTACTACTCACACAATAAAATCTCCCACTACTACTACTACTATTATTATTATTATTATTATTATTTAAAAAAAAAATAGAAGCACTAAATGTCTCTTTTCTCCTAGTTATATATAAATTAAGTAATTAAATATAATTTATTCTTATTATTTTTAATTTTTAATTTATTATGAACAATTATCTTTATTACATTGAATAGTCTTCTCATTTTTCAATCTTCTAATTATTTTAAAATATTACATGTTCTAGTCTAGAGAACAAATTAGGATTAATCTAACCGCTCAACTAAGGCAGAACATTTAAAAGTGTGATTTGTCTTACTTTACTTTAGGGTTAGAGTTTTTATGTTTGATTGTTTATGAGTTCATGAATCCCAAGAATTTTGGGATTTGATAAGATAATTTAAGATCATATCTAAGATTTAGTCTTGATTTTCTAAGATCAGAACAATATATACCAACCTCATTGAAAATGACTAACAAACCTTTTGTTAAATTTATATGTTAAGTTATGTAAATTGGTTATATCCCAACTTTAGTATGCCATCCATAACTAGGCCTAAGTGTCTTGACAAGTTCATTCTCCCAAGTCCATATAGGATTATATCTTTGATGATACACTTACCTACCAGCTCCGAACCTAAAAGGTAAAGAGGTTTCGTTCAAATTATTTGTTAGCCAATTTAGTCATCCATGTTAATTAATGTACTTATGTCAATATTCAATCAAGATGACACATAGGTATCTTGACAAGTCCATCTCGAATTATATCCAAGATGGTACAATACCTTTATAAAAGGTTATAATTTATTTTATCATTATGATATACTTTTTATTATCTAAAATATATCTTACGTTCACTATTTTTTTCCCTTTAAAAGTCTACTTTTAATTGAAATTATTTCCCTTAATTTAATAAATAGTGATTAGACTAAAAGTCTCATTATTTAATGTTAGGGATAATTTTGATATATATGTGTGTGTAATGTTATGAATTTATTTAACAAAGTTTAATTATTAGGTATTATATAACGAACCAAATATTTGTTACATATGTTTTGATATTGTACAAATAAATAATTTTCAGACAAGGTGCTGCAGAGTTGACACAAGTTTCATGGTTGGAGGTATCGGGTGTGGTAAAAATAAGTAATCCGAAGAAATACAAGGTTACATTTGAGGTGAAAGTTAAAGAAGATGGGTTTGGTTGGAAAGACACAGATGTTCTAGTGATGGCAAAAGTAGGGAGAGCAGGAAAATACATTTATAAGGCGACGAAAATAAGTCCTGGTTGCGACATGAGCATTCCTTCTGATTCACTTGAGATTGATGTGGCCAAACCTTCAGACCTTCATTTTGGATTATATGAAGTGTGGAGTGGAAAATGGAAGGGAGGCCTTCAAATTTTAAGAGCAGTGGTCTCACCTACGACTTAGAACTCTTATGCTCCCACCATCATTTCATTCATAGCTGTGACATAAAATGCAAGTGATGTTAGAATAACAGTGTGCTTTGGTCATGCTGAGACGTATTATATATATGGGTCTGATAGAGAAAATTATATAAATAAAATGCTAATTATGATTGCCTTAAATTAATATTTGTAATAAATAATGGATTTCATTATGTTTTACTTTTCTTTCTCTTTTCAGATTAAGGTTTTAAAACTAGTTCACAATTGTTTATTTCAGTCGAAATGTCAAAAAAAAAAAAAATTTTCACTCTTTGCAATTATGATTGCAATTGCATCAGTTGCATTTGTTTGTAATTTTCCACGATATTAAGAATTTTGATAAAAGTACACCTCGTTCAATCGTAATTTAACTGTCTTCGTGAGACTATTAGTCACACTTTAGTATTTTCTTTTCTTAAAAACATTTTTTTTTGTAAAGTCTTGCTAGTTGCACCAACAATTAAATCTATTCGACTAAGAAACTAACATATTTAGTGAATTATAAATTATCTTTTTCAAAAACTAAAACAAGGAATTTTAAACAACTACTAGAATAATAATGGAGCCGTTAGTTTTGGTCTTCTCACAACCAAATCAAATTTCAAATAAAACATGAACAACTTTATCTTTTTAGCTCATACATGGGTACAAAATATAATAAGTTGCATTAAAATAAAAATAAAATATAACTAAAGGTGTTTCATTCATAAGAGGTGCACCTTGGATCAAGTCATCAAACCATAGGACTCTCTTGGTAGTCTCCGATCAAATTACTTTAACACAACTAAGAGCAAAGCCTCTTGGTAGTATTCTATCGACTTGCTTGAAAACTCTAACTACAACTTCTATTCTCCACCTTATGATTAATGTTAACCTAATAAAAACTGAAACACGATATTACATAGCCATCATTTCCATCATTTCAAAACCTTTTCCAAAGGACCCAAAGCCTAAGTTAAAGCATTTTTACTATAGTTTATAACAAACCAGTTCAGATCATTTGGATGATAAGTTAAACTAAAGTTATGAAAACTTTATTTTGTCTTATTCAATAGAAATCTAGATTGACAAATTTCTAGGTAGAGATTCATAGTTCTCGAAAAATATGCAATAAACTTAAAAAATTCTAACTTTTTTTTTGGCAGTCTCTCTCTTTAATTTATAACTTTCCAAAAATAATTAGAGCAAAATAACAACTAGAATTGTTCCTATAATTTTCGAAACAGCAATAGATCCACATAGACTTAGTAAGTAGATTTATCAACAACATAATATAAATGATATAATAAAGTAAATTATATGCATAAAGATGAGAAAGGGAGGGAAGAGATGAGTTTCTCATGGAGAATAATGGGGCGAAGAGAATGTGAAGCTTTCACTACAACAAAATTTGTTTATTGAGGTGTTTAAATTGTGGCAGCTATAAGAAACCGCCTATTCAGGGGGTTCTTTAACCACTAGAATAATATTTTCTTTTGACAATTTATTTCTCATTTCTAGCTGTAAAATTAGTACATCATATAAGTTCTAGCTCATTTCTATCTCATGTTTGTGTTAGAAAACTCTTTATTTTTCTTTCTCTTTCCCATCGAAAATGTCTCATAATGGTTGTCTCATTCTAATGAGGTTATTTTATGATATTTGTTTGAGGAAATATTTTATAAAAGTTATTTTTATCAAAAGAGCATAATCTAGTTTTATTCATGAGGTCTCTATTTATAGAGAAAATTTGTTATACAAAATCAAATATTGATATTATCTTATTCTAAAAACAAGGAAATAAATCCTAAAATAATCAAAAGAGATTAAATCTAAATATTTGAAATATAAATAAAATATTCTTATAAAAAATTAATTTATTCTCCTAAAGATATTTAGGCATATTCTCAACACCTACCCTCTCTGAAAACCCAACTTAGGGTATTGATCAACTCTGATGATGAAATAGTGAGTAAATCAAAGGTAATATTCTTCAAGGATCAATCATTATTTCATTTCTCACCTTTGTGAAAACTCTACATAGGGTTCTTCGATCGATTTTATTTTATTTTTGCATAGTTAATTAGGAATTCATCCACTTAGGGGTAGTTAATGTATTTTCTCATTTGCAAGATACTCGTCATTTAATTGTTGATGATTTTATAATCATAGTTGACTACAACAAAAACAATTGATTTCTAGTTGGAATCCTATAAGGCTTGATTAGTTAAAATAATCCATCTAATGTTATTCATTACATTTTCAGAATGTTCTTGTTTGCTTTATGAGTTTGAAAAAATTGTGTTGAACATATATGGATATTGCTTTATATTTGAGATTAAAGATTTGTTGTTATGAAATGGGATGCTTTATCTTTTGTTAATATGCTAATGCTAGATTAAATCTTAATTTTTAGTTTTATGATTAACATATACCAGATATTAGGAATATGACATTAAAAATGGAAAGAGATTAGAGGACAAAATAGGTATGTTATACAAAAATAGTTATAAAATTAGATTGTTACTTAGCCAACAGATCATGCTGGTTTGTAAAGGATTTTGTGAAATTTGTGCATAAAATGTTATGTCAAATACACCTCCTTTACACACATGAAATTGATGGATAATCATAAAATAATTTTATACATTCATTTGAATTAATGAAACGAAGTATCAAATGGTCTTTAAATTTTTTAAAAATTTGCATATTTAATTTATATATTAAGAACTTTAAATTCAATAGTTGGATCGTTAAAATTTGATATAGAACATGAGTTATTGAACGGAATAATTATAGGTAGACTTACTCCTAGAATAAACGGACCCTTCCTCTCTTTCTCTCTCTCTCTCTCTCTCTCTCTCTCTATATATATATATATATTCAGTGAGTAGAACTCTTGTTTAGGTAAAAAGCTTATCTTCTATGTTAAGTTCTATATTGTCACCATGTGAAAGTCTTTGATCAATCATTATTTTAAAAGATTAGTCTCATAATTGTATTAATAGAAATATTGACCAATTAAAGAAAAAAAGATTAATTTCATCAATATTACAAACTTGATTGTTAACATCAGATGTAGAACAATAACTTTCTTAAGGCACTCATAAGCACTCATTTACATGCATTGCAAATTTTATGGCACCAAAAACTCAAGTTTATAAATTAGTTCTAAAGATAATATTTAGAGTGTGTTGTTCATTTTTTAAATGCAGTTTCTAACACTATTGTGAAGATAGAAACTAAGAATGCTAATAAGGCAGAGCCGAGACTTCCATTTGGCATTAAAGCAAGCTGACTAACTTTGAGATTAGCATAGGAGGTAAAAACAAATATTGGAAATTCTAACCGTGTTAGTACACTTGATAGGCTACCATGGCATAAAATCAAATAAAGACTAGCCATTTGTGGGGTTTTCATGCCCAAAACATTCCCTAGACCAAAGGTCTAGCCTGAAACTAGAGGTCTCATCTTACCCATTTTATTCAATCCTATTTGCTATTACTAACATGAGTAACTCAAATCTCAATTCCATAATCCACGTACTATTTCATTATCTTTTTCACTGTCCTTTATCATTGTCACTGTTACATCACACTACCAAATGTCCTTGATAGGAAATTTAAAGAAAAGAATATCATTAAAATCTTTTTATCAAAACCTTATTTCTCATTACTTTTTCTATTAACCATCCTCAATAGTAAAATAAAAATATTTTCAAACTTTTTCCCAAACTCTTTTCTTTTCTCTCCCAAAATATTTTGACTAAAAAATCACACTATGCACTATGCCATGTGCATTAAAAGCAATTCATGATTTTTCTACTGGGAAGGCATACGCCTTACCTCTCGTCCATCACCAAAATTGGGCACCTCCTTCAGCCTTAGCATTGACCGAAAGGTAATCAAAACAAAGGTTAGCCACCACCAGAATTGAATACTTGATGGACTCTTTCCACCATGGGAGGACCAAAGACTTCCAATAGTGAAGAAGATCTCCTTGCCAAGGCCAAGATGATGACCTTAAGGGGTGGACATTCCTTCAAGGGTGGAGAAAAGAGAGAATGGGCGTGAGGTGTTTAAGGTGGGCGAATAGGGAAAAATGGAAGGGAAAGGTGTTTAGGTTGCTCAAGGTTGGCTCACTTCACTAGGCAAGGGTGAAGACCACTCACATAAACCCGAAGCTCACTCAAGGAGGAGAGGGGAGGGTCAGGCCATGTAGACCTAGGTGACTAAGGAGAGGATTTGAGGCAAAAAATGCTCACTCAAATTCATATATTCCAAAGTGTGTACACGTGCTAGGCTAAGGGTATTTATAGAAGTAGGAAGATATCTAGGGTTTCATTTAGGGTTGCATGGCCGTGTAATGCAAGCCCAAATGCAAGCCAAATGCAACCTAAATGAACTTTAGATGATGTGTGGGTTCCTTCCTCCTAAAAGACTAAAATACCCTTTGACCTAAAAATAGAAAAAGGTGGAGTTTGACCTCACAAGTCAAGGTTTAAGTCCTAAAATAAATCCTAAGCTAATTTGCCCCATAATACAAAGGCTAAATGAAAATACATAATAAAATCCTATCATTTAAAGTATCCCAAAATACAAGGGTAGAAAGGGAAATAAAGCAATAAAATCCTATACTACTCAAAATGGGTCTAGGAGATGGATCAATACTCCACACTCATGATGAGTATGGCTCTAGGCATGGTGTCTCCTTCGTCTTCCTCCATTCTCCTAGCCATGGACCTAGTAATGGGTCCCACATGAAGCTCCAAGGGTGGTCCTCCATCAATACCCCCCTCGGCCTTAGCATAAGTCGAAGGGTAATCAAAAGAAAAAGTGACACCATGGAAACCGAACACCCCCTATTCGGCCCTATTATTGGACCCCGAAGCGATAACCAAAACGAAGCATGCCAGGAAGCTCCAATATGAGCAAATACCCATTCAAGAGTCAAACCGAATACCCCTCTGGTTAATAGGTCAACTAGAAGGGTACTCGACACCTCATGAACAAGACAAATTAGGAGAGGAAATTGAACAGTAAATGCCACGTCAAACCAATATTAAGGTCAAATTAAGGACTATAAACCTTGATTACCCATATTCCAAGACAAAAGGCTCACTAGGCCCAAATACTTCACTATAAATACACATATGATGGGACAAGAACAAGTATGATCGTTTAATATTGTAGCCTTTATTG